TGTCTGTATTAAACATGTCATGTATTAAACATGTCTGTATTAAACATGTCTGTATTAAACATGTCTGTATTAAACATGTCTGTATTAAACATGTCTGTATTAAACATGTCTGTATTAAACATGTCTGTATTAAACATGTCTGTATTAAACATGTCTGTATTAAACATGTCTGTATTAAACATGTCTGTATTAAACATGTCTGTATTAAACATGTCTGTATTAAACATGTCTGTATTAAACATGTCTGTATTAAACATGTCTGTATTAAACATGTCTGTTGTTAAACATGTCTGTATTAAACATGTCTGTATTAAACATGTCTGTATAAACATGTCTGTATTAAACATGTCTGTATTAAACATGTCTGTATTAAACATGTCTGTATTAAACATGTCTGTATTAAACATGTCTGTATTAAACATGTCTGTATTAAACATGTCTGTATTAAACATGTCTGTATTAAACATGTCTGTATTAAACATGTCTGTATTAAACATGTCTGTATTAAACATGTCTGTATTAAACATGTCTGTATTAAACATGTCTGTATTAAAACATGTCTGTATTAAACATGTCTGTATTAAACATGTCTGTATTAAACATGTCTGTATTAAACATGTCTGTATTAAACATGTCTGTATTAAACATGTCTGTATAAACATGTCTGTATTAAACATGTCTGTATTAAACATGTCTGTATTAAACATGTCTGTATTAAACATGTCTGTATACATGTCTGTATTAAACATGTCTGTATTAAACATGTCTGTATTAAACATGTCTGTATTAAACATGTCTGTATTAAACATGTCTGTATTAAACATGTCTGTATTAAACATGTCTGTATAAACATGTCTGTATTAAACATGTCTGTATTAAACATGTCTGATAACATTATTAAACATGTCTGTATTAAAACATGTCTGTATTAAACATGTCTGTATTAAACATGTCTGTATTAAACATGTCTGTATTAAACATGTCTGTATTAAACATGTCTGTATTAAACATGTCTGTATTAAACATGTCTGTATTAAACATGTCTGTATTAAACATGTCTGTATTAAACATGTCTGTATTAAACATGTCTGTATTAAACATGTCTGTATTAAACATGTCTGTATTAAACATGTCTTGTATTAAACATGTCTGTATTAAACATGTCTGTATTATGTCGTTAAACATGTCTGTATTAAACATGTCTGTATTAAACATGTCTGTATTAAACATGTCTGTATTAAACATGTCTGTATTAAACATGTCTGTATTAAACATGTCTGTATTAAACATGTCTGTATTAAACATGTCTGTATTAAACATGTCTGTATTAAACATGTCTGTATTAAACATGTCTGTATTAAACATGTCTGTATTAAACATGTCTGTATTAAACATGTCTGTATTAAACATGTCTGTATAAACATGTCTGTATTAAACATGTCTGTATTAAACATGTCTGTATTAAACATGTCTGTATTAAACATGTCTGTATTAAACATGTCTGTATAAACATGTCTGTATTAAACATGTCTGTATTAAACATGTCTGTATTAACATGTCTGTATTAAACATGTCTGTAATAAACATGTCTGTATTAAACATGTCTGTATTAAACATGTCTGTAATAAACATGTCTGTATTAAACATGTCTGTAATAAACATGTCTGTATTAAACATGTCTGTATTAAACATGTCTGTATTAAACATGTCTGTAAACATGTCTGTATTAAACATGTCTGTATTAAACATGTCTGTATTAAACATGTCTGTATTAAACATGTCTGTATTAAACATGTCTGTATTAAACATGTCTGTATAGTCTGTATTAAACATGTCTGTATAAACATGTCTGTATTAAACATGTCTGTATTAAACATGTCTGTATTAAACATGTCTGTATTAAACATGTCTGTATTAAACATGTCTGTATTAAACATGTCTGTATTAAACATGTCTGTATTAAACATGTCTGTATTAAACATGTCTGTATTAAACATGTCTGTATTAAACATGTCTGTATTAAACATGTCTGTATTAAACATGTCTGTATTAAACATGTCTGTATTAAACATGTCTGTATTAAACATGTCTGTATTAAACATGTCTGTATTAAACATGTCTGTATTAAACATGTCTGTATTAAACATGTCTGTATTAAACATGTCTGTATTAAACATGTCTGTATTAAACATGTCTGTATTAAACATGTCAGTATTAAAATGTCTGTATTAAACATGTCTGTAATAAACATGTCTGTATTAAACATGTCTGTATTAAACATGTCTGTAATAAACATGTCTGTATTAAACATGTCTGTATTAAACATGTCTGTATTAAACATGTCTGTATTAAACATGTCTGTATTAAACATGTCTGTATTAAACATGTCTGTATTAAACATGTCTGTATTAAACATGTCTGTATTAAACATGTCTGTATTAAACATGTCTGTATTAAACATGTCAGTATTAAACATGTCTGTATTAAACATGTCTGTAATAAACATGTCTGTATTAAACATGTCTGTATTAAACATGTCTGTAATAAACATGTCTGTAATAAACATGTCTGTATTAAACATGTCTGTAATAAACATGTCTGTATTAAACATGTCTGTATTAAACATGTCTGTAATAAACATGTCTGTATTAAACATGTCTGTATTAAACATGTCTGTATTAAACATGTCTGTATTAAACATGTCTGTATTAAACATGTTTTCCTTTTGCTGGAGACTCTTCAGAGTCCGTGCAGAGACATTAGTCTGTAAAAATAACCAGATGAGTGGATTTTGAGTTATAAAAGCTGTACTTTTATTCTGACATAACCTCAATAGTAATAATAGTTGTTTTTTATAAATCTAAAGCAGGGATGTCTAATCTACGGCCCGCGGGCTGAATCCGGCCCACCAAGAGATTTGATCCGGCCCGTAACTCATTCATGTAAAATGATAATAACATGGGGCGACAGTAGCTCAGTTGGTCTTGGGACCTACTGATCATGGGTTCAATCCCACAACACCCTATGGCATCTACTCCCACACATGTCTGCTGTCGTTGTGTCCTTGGGCAAGACACTTAACCCCACATTGCCTGAAGCCCCCACTGTAAGACAAAGGCCATGTCTTCGATGATGGAGCAGCCATCATCCTGTGGACCCACCCCCTGCAGAGGACCAGGGTCTGGTGCTTTGAGACTTGGGCAGCTCTGACTGTCCCCCCCCCTGTGACAGTCAGAGTGACATAACTCACAGCCGTTGTGTTTTCGCAGGACGTAACGATGCTACACTTCCAGAGCTTTGTAAATGTATCGTTGTGATGTAATATTGTACAGTTACAGTGAGTTTCATTTTGAAGGGATGTAACAAATATATTATATTTTGGCAACAGCGCTAATCACCAGAACGTCTTTAGTGACGGTCACAGCTGAAACAGGTGAAACAGGCACGTGAGATCACAAAGCTCTGCGTCAGTCTCACCATCTGTCAAAAAGAGGCGTTTTGGGCCATTTGTCAAAATGTTGAATGTGCCAGGAGCAACAAGAGCTGACGGAGGACAGTCATGGCCAATCCTGTAAATAACATCATGAGTCATGGTATGGAACACATGGAGAAGGCTAATATCTGGGGCTAAACATGAAGTAAATAACATGTGTATGTATAGTTAAATACTTTATAATCATGCATTTGTCAGACGGACATGTTGGGGCTGATATTTTAAAGTACAAATCCAGCAAACTCCAAAATCTTTTAGATGTTTCTAAGATATAATATATTAGTATTATAATTGTATGTAATATATTAGTATTATAATTGAATGTAATATATTAGTATTATAATTGTATGTAATATATTAGTATTATAATTGTATGTAATATATTAGTATTATAATTGAATGTAATATATTAGTATTATAATTGTATGTAAATACATTAGTATTATAATTGTATGTAATATATTAGTATTATAATTGTATGTAATATATTAGTATTATAATTGTATGTAATATATTAGTATTATAATTGTATGTAATATATTAGTATTATAATTGTATGTAAATACATTAGTATTATAATTGTATGTAATATATTAGTATTATAATTGTATGTAAATACATTAGTATTATAATTGTATGTAAATACATTAGTATTATAATTGTATGTAATATATTAGTATTATAATTGTATGTAAATACATTAGTATTATAAATGTATGTAAATACATTAGTATTATAATTGTATGTAATATATTAGTATTATAATTGAATGTAATATATTAGTATTATAATTGTATGTAAATACATTAGTATTATAATTGTATGTAATATATTAGTATTATAATTGTATGTAATATATTAGTATTATAATTGTATGTAATATATTAGTATTATAATTGTATGTAATATATTAGTATTATAATTGTATGTAAATACATTAGTATTATAATTGTATGTAATATATTAGTATTATAATTGTATGTAAATACATTAGTATTATAATTGTATGTAAATACATTAGTATTATAATTGTATGTAATATATTAGTATTATAATTGTATGTAAATACATTAGTATTATAAATGTATGTAAATACATTAGTATTATAATTGTATGTAATATATTAGTATTATAATTGTATGTAATATATTAGTATTATAATTGTATGTAAAGACATTAGTATTATAAATGTCATGTATCTGTCACTAGACTCGTGTGTGTTGTAGTCTATGTATTTTCCTGCCGAGCGACGACTAAAAAAGTAGTTTTGTAGTTATAATGCAACATATTTATTGTTTATTATTATTTATTTTATTATTTGGATGTAAAATGACAACAGTTTTGTGCTCCTCTTGCACTTTTGACACATTGTGTCAGGAGTTGTGTCAGGACGTGCCAGAGCCAGGAGCTGAGGGATGTGACTAATGTACTTCTGTCACTTTAGGCCCATACTCTCAAACTCCAGTCTAAAAGCTTCATAATAATTCCATTTCGTTTGAGCTCTTACACGCGACACATTAATGACACAACAGGGTGCTGCTGATACCCACAACACGGATATTTACACCACAGACGTGTTATAGGGGCTGTATTAAGTGTTACAGGGAACGGGTTTGTGAGAGAGACTTGGGGACAGAACATGATGCATGAATACACGATGTATGTAAGACGGCAATAGGACAGAACGATAACTGGACTTTACTGTTGGTGTTAAGCAGTTTGTGTGCGTTAAAGAATGTTGATTTAGTGAGTGAGTTTTTAAGCATAAAAACAGCCTAGGTCATCAAAATCTCTGAATGGAGAAAGGGGTAGGAGTTTATAAGTCCCCACTTCTTCCTACTCCTTTTTGATGTGTTACATCATTATTCTGTATATATGTATGTAACATGTTCATACTAAGATTGCTCAAATAAAAAAATGAAATGGAATGTGTCATTTTGTCTCAAAAGAGAAAAAAATCTAATTATTCAGTAAAAAGGATGATCTGGTTAAAACTGCAAACTATCTAGTATGATATAATAATTACTATTGTTATTGTTTAAGCACTTTCTTCGGAGAAAGGAGGTCCTGGATTGAAATCCTGGTCGGAGCAGGACCCATTGGACTGGTTCTGTCAGGACTTTACTGAGGGAACATGCAGAGATAGATAGATACTTTATTGATCCCCACAGGAGAAATGCAGGTCTCCAGTAGCAGCAAAAACAAAACATAAAAAATTAAATTGATAATTCCAAAAGCCAACAATAGCAATAATCAGCAGCAGCCTCAGGTCACAGCAGCAGAGGTGGAGTAGACTCTGGGTGGAGCAGGACAGGTCACAGCAGCAGAGGTGGAGTAGCCTCTGGGTGGAGCAGGACGGGTCACAGCAGCAGAGGTGGAGTAGCCTCTGGGTGGAGCAGGACGGGTCACAGCAGCAGAGGTGGAGTAGCCTCTGGGTGGAGCAGGACAGGTCACAGCAGCAGAGGTGGAGTAGCCTCTGGGTGGAGCAGGACGGGTCACCGCAGCAGAGGTGGAGTAGCCTCTGGGTGGAGCAGGACGGGTCACAGCAGCAGAGGTGGAGTAGCCTCTGGGTGGAGCAGGACAGGTCACAGCAGCAGAGGTGGAGTAGTCTCTGGGTGGAGCAGGACAGGTCACAGCAGCAGAGGTGGAGTAGCCTCTGGGTGGAGCAGGACAGGTCACAGCAGCAGAGGTGGAGTAGTCTCTGGGTGGAGCAGGACGGGTCACAGCAGCAGAGGTGGAGCCGCTTGGTTCGGACCATTTTCTCTGCTCTTGTCCGAAGTAAAATGCTTCATTAGCATTTTTCAAAAAGTTTGCATTCCTCCAGTGGATTTTGACCTGATCCACATGGTTTGGACCATAAATCCTCTCTGCTCTGGTCTGGACCAGTGTAAAACCATAAATCCTCTCTGCTCTGGTCTGGACCAGTGTAAAACCATGAATCCTCTCTGCTCTGGTCTGGACCAGTGTAAAACCATAAATCCTCTCTGCTCTGGTCTGGACCAGTGTAAAACCATGAATCCTCTCTGCTCTGGTCTGGACCAGTGTAAAACCATGAATCCTCTCTGCTCTGGTCTGGACCAGTGTAAAACCATGAATCCTCTCTGCTCTGGTCTGGACCAGTGTAAAACCATGAATCCTCTCTGCTCTGGTCTGGACCAGTGTAAAACCATGAATCCTCTAACGGCGCATTCAGACCGGATCATGCGTCGCGTCGGCTTTCAATGCAAAGTCAATGGTGACGAGTGTTCGAGCGTCACAACGCACGGACCTCTCGGCACGCACGGACGGACCTCTCAGTAGAGCCGCACGGACGGACCTCTCAGTAGAGCCGCACGGACGGACCTCTCAGTAGAGCCGCACAGACGGACCTCTCAGTAGAGCCGCACAGACGGACCTCTCAGTAGAGCCGCACGGATGGACCTCTCAGTAGAGCCGCACAGACGGACCTCTCAGTAGAGCCGCACGGACGGATCTCTCAGTAGAGCTGCACAGACGGACCTCTCAGTAGAGCTGCACAGACGGACCTCTCAGTAGAGCCGCACAGACGGACCTCTCAGTAGAGCCGCACAGACGGACCTCTCAGTAGAGCCGCACGGATGGACCTCTCAGTAGAGCCGCACAGACGGACCTCTCAGTAGAGCCGCACAGACGGACCTCTCAGTAGAGCCGCACGGACGGACCTCTCAGTAGAGCCGCACGGATGGACCTCTCAGTAGAGCCGCACGGACGGACCTCTCAGTAGAGCCGCACGGACGGACCTCTCAGTAGAGCCGCACGGACGGACCTCTCAGTAGAGCCGCACAGACGGACCTCTCAGTAGAGCCGCACAGACGGACCTCTCAGTAGAGCCGCACAGACGGACCTCTCAGTAGAGCCGCACGGATGGACCTCTCAGTAGAACCGCACGGACGGACCTCTCAGTAGAGCCGCACAGACGGACCTCTCAGTAGAGCTACACAGACGGACCTCTCAGTAGAGCCGCACAGACGGACCTCTCAGTAGAGCCGCACAGACGGACCTCTCAGTAGAGCCGCACAGACGGACCTCTCAGTAGAGCTACACAGACGGACCTTCAGTAGAGCCGCACAGACGGACCTCTCAGTAGAGCCGCACGGATGGACCTCTCAGTAGAGCCGCACGGACGGATCTCTCAGTAGAGCCGCACGGACGGACCTCTCAGTAGAGCCGCACGGATGGACCTCTCAGTAGAGCCGCACGGATGGACCTCTCAGTAGAGCCGCACAGACGGACCTCTCAGTAGAGCTGCACAGACGGACCTCTCAGTAGAGCCGCACAGACGGACCTCTCAGTAGAGCCGCACAGACGGACCTCTCAGTAGAGCCGCACAGACGGACCTCTCAGTAGAGCCGCACGGACGGACCTCTCAGTAGAGCCGCACGGACGGACCTCTCAGTAGAGCCGCACGGATGGACCTCTCAGTAGAACCGCACGACGATCTCTCAGTAGAGCCGCACGGACGGACCTCTCAGTAGAGCCGCACGGATGGACCTCTCAGTAGAGCCGCACGGATGGACCTCTCAGTAGAGCCGCACGGATGGACCTCTCAGTAGAGCCGCACGGATGGACCTCTCAGTAGAGCCGCACGGACGGACCTCTCAGTAGAGCCGCACGGAGACCCTCAGTAGAGCCGCACGGACGGACCTCTCAGTAGAGCCGCACGGACGGACCTCTCAGTAGAGCCGCACAGACGGACCTCTCAGTAGAGCCGCACAGACGGACCTCTCAGTAGAGCCGCACAGACGGACCTCTCAGTAGAGCCGCACAGACGGACCTCTCAGTAGAGCCGCACAGTAGAGCCGCACGGACCTCTCAGTAGAGCCGCACAGACGGACCTCTCAGTAGAGCCGCACGGACGGACCTCTCAGTAGAGCCCGCACAGACGGACCTCTCAGTAGAGCCGCACGGACGGACCTCTCAGTAGAGCCGCACGGACGGACCTCTCAGTAGAACCGCACGGACGGATCTCTCAGTAGAGCCGCACGGATGGACCTCTCAGTAGAGCCGCACGGATGGACCTCTCAGTAGAGCCGCACGGATGGACCTCTCAGTAGAGCCGCACGGACGGACCTCTCAGTAGAGCCGCACAGACGGACCTCTCAGTAGAGCTGCACGGATGGACCCTCTCAGTAGAGCCGCACGGATGGACCTCTCAGTAGAGCCGCACGGACGGACCTCTCAGTAGAGCCGCACGGATGGACCTCTCAGTAGAGCCGCACGGATGGACCTCTCAGTAGAACCGCACGGACGGATCTCTCAGTAGAGCCGCACAGACGGACCTCTCAGTAGACACGCACGGACGGACCTCTCAGTAGAACCGCACGGACGGACCTCTCAGTAGAGCCGCACAGACGGACCTCTCAGTAGAACCGCACGGACGGACCTCTCAGTAGAGCCGCACAGACGGACCTCTCAGTAGAGCTGCACAGACGGACCTCTCAGTAGAACCGCACGGACGGATCTCTCAGTAGAGCCGCACGGATGGATCTCTCAGTAGAGCTGCACAGACGGACCTCTCAGTAGACACGCACGGACGGACCTCTCAGTAGAGCTGCACAGACGGACCTCTCAGTAGAGCCGCACAGACGGACCTCTCAGTAGAGCCGCACGGACGGACCTCTCAGTAGAGCCGCACAGACGGACCTCTCAGTAGAGCCGCACGGACGGACCTCTCAGTAGAGCCGCACAGACGGACCTCTCAGTAGAGCCGCACAGACGGACCTCTCAGTAGAGCCGCACAGACGGACCTCTCAGTAGAGCCGCACGGACGGACCTCTCAGAGGAGCCGCACGGACGGACCTCTCAGTAGAGCCGCACGGACTTGGCGGGAAAGTCAAAGGGGAGGAGCAGGAGCGAAAAATCGACGCCCACAGGAGATGGATTCTGCTCATCCTTTCCTTGGGACGTACGCGTTCACAACCAATCAGAGAGCAGCAAAGTGGTCACGGGGACATTAGCGGACTCAGCGAGCAGACTGAACATACTGTAAACAGCCAAAACAGGACCCACACCAGACTTCACCAGAACTCAAACCAGGGCTGACAATGGGGGAGTGCTTGTGAAAATATGGGTTGTAAGTAAGTAAGTAATCTTTATTTATATACCGCCTTTTCACTGCACATTGGAGTCTCAAAGCGGTTTATAATTGTGATTTTTGGGAGTGGGGCCAGTACAGGAGGAACATGCCAGACCTATTGTACATATTTTTAGTGGTAGGGGAAACCGGAGCACCCGGAGGAAACCTACGCAGACACGGGGAGAACATGCAAACTCCACTCAGAAAGGCCCTGGTCCAACCGGGATTCGAACCCAGGACCTTCTTGCTGAGAGGCGAGAGTGCTATCCACTCAGCCACCGTGCCGCCCTGTCATGCTCCCGTGACCTTATGCAACTGCTTCGAGTGTGTTCATACTGCTGTTATATAAAGTCACCTCCGTGAACACATACTGCTGTTATATAGTCACCTCCGTGAACACATACTGCTGTTATATAAAGTCACC